TCCCCAGATCAGACATTCGATATTTGCGTTAGAGAGTGCCCGGGCATACTTTAAACGATTTTCCTGCACCTCTTGGGACCATGGGCTGGAGTCGTAGAGTTCTAGCATTCGGTAGTGATGCGCTTTGCAGATTAGAAATGCAGCACCGCTTTTTATACATGTGTTCATTGTTGGTATTTATTTGTGTCTTGATGTCGCAACCGCTTCTGTCCCAACACGGTAAGTTTGCGGTAAGTCGTGCTTGCCCTCGCCCTCCAAGGTTGAAGGTTTCGACGACGGCTCCTTACAGGTCCGGGAGCCCATACCAACAACGTGAAGGTATTTCGCTGTCTTTTCTACATTGCTTACTGTTACTAAAGAGTATCTCATGTGCCCAATGGCCAAATAAGTAGCCGGTTCTCCTTTGTGTAATTTGAAATAAGAATGATCACATGAACACTATATAAGTTGTGGAACAATGAAGGAAAAACTACGGGGTAGCGCAAATGTTCCAACACAAGTCGTACGCAACAAGGCACATTAAGAATAATCTGAGCCCCCATTTTTTCCCCTTCCCTCCGGGCCTCCGCCCACTCCGACTTACCACTCCGTCCCCCTCCGAGACTTCAACCTCCTTCTCCGAATCCATTCTTTTGCTCACGCAGATTCTCTTTGGCGCCTTCGTTATATTTCGTACTCTACCCTTTACTCATTATTCCGCTGCAGACGAGCAGTTCCAAACCCCAGAAATTCAATCAACGCAGTCAAGCCTTCTTGTGAGTGGAAGCTTGCCATAAAATATTCTCAAAGCTCACAAAGGAGCTCGGATCTATCATTCCAGTTCACCATGCCCCTCCCTTCTCGCCTCTTTCCCATCACAAAAGTTGTATTCGACGCCATCAATCTAGCTGGAACCAAAGGTATCATTGTCGGAGGTGCAGCCGCTCATATGTTCGGGAGTAAGCGTGTCACTACTAGGGTAGGAATCTTGTCACTTGATGCTGCAATGGAAAACTTACTCGTTCCTTAGGATGTCGACATTAATGTCTTATCCTTCCCCGAATTCCCCGAGGATCCCATGATTAAAGCCCGTTTTCCTTTCGACGATGATAATTCAATAATGAAAATCACCTACTTGGATTCAAAGGAGGCCGTCAAGGCCGACGTTGCCACCCGACGAGCACAACATATCCCCTTGCTTTTGAAATATTCCCTGACGGACCCAAAAACAAACTTCACGTACGCCAACTATCAACTCCTCCTTGCCGACAAAATTAGAACTTTGGCTGAGCGTGGAGAAAAGAAAGACAAAAAGCGAGAGACAGATCTTGCCGACATCAAATTCTGCATTGAAGAGATGTTTATGAGAGACGAAAAATGCCTGAGGACCTCAAATTCTTGTACTCTGCGGAGGATTGGGGTAAAGTCCTGAAATATCTGAAAGGTGAGGAGGAGCACGAGGGGTACCTGGTTATGTTGGAGAAAATGAATATCTTCTAGCCTCGCGACGAGCAATAAACGATCCCAAAATCACTTT